TTGGAACTATTTTGGTTTTCATGTGACGTATGACCCTGAAGGTAAGCGCGTCATGGACTAAAGTAAAACAGTATGCTGGATGTGCCATGCAATGCTCAATTACATGGGTGGGAGCTAGTGTGTTAGCGCAGTTAGCTCGTTAACGTGTTGGCTGTCCAGCCCCATGCACGCCCCGCGGTAGCTTGTTAACGAAGATTTGCCGTGTTGTGGCGTTAATGTCATTTCAACTAGATTTACGCTGACAGCACTAGTGGGAACACAACGAATATGACTGCACATTTACACCGACATCATCCAAGTGCAAAGACAAGTGGAAGCAGACAAAAACAACAAGCAGCATGCTACAAACTTTACCCGAGTCATTTAGACAGCCGTTAGCACATGATTCTCCTTATGGGGACCTGATATGTTTAATATGCTGCTGAGAATATAGCCCAGAAGAAGCGTATAGTATAGCTTTTATTTTGGAAAGAGCCATTTCTCTGTAATAAACTCTCTTTTCCAAAGATGAGGGATTCCTCAATCAGATACAGGGCTCGCAAAATCGCTAGCCCGACGTCCATTTTTCCAGTCGGGCTACCAAAATCTATCTCTGCCCTGCCCGTCGGCCTATTGTAGGATGGAAAAATATATGTCAATGCTTTTGCATTCTTTCGGAAATGTAGCTGGGTAATTATGTCATTGGCATCGGTGAGCCACTGTCAATATGTGACATATTGAAATCGCGTTTGAATTTGCGCTTGTTTTTTGCTTTCACTTTGCAATCGCGCGGACTGTGAGCGACAGCACTGATTGGTGAGTGATGATAATTTGCGCACCAATTCCTCTGACATCGTCTTATCAATCGTTAGCTTGCAAACATGACAAGCAAACATGACAAGTGAAATCTCCCGCAGCAAGCTTAAACATGTGAGAGGTTGATCGCGCAGAGAATCGCTGAGCGTTATGTGAGTGCGTGTGTAAAAGCAGCAGGATATATATTTTAGTTCTGCTGAGCCAAATAAGACAGGTCAGGGTGAAGAAGTGACAGCCAAAGAAAAGCTTACCACAAAACGGAAAAGTTATGACAAATCAGACTATAAGGCAAAAAGAAAGTGCAGCTTTATGGTTTCATGGACAAAAGAATTTCTGTGGCTGCAATATGACAAGCTAAATAACCAGGGCTGCACATAAGTGGTCCGCAGGTGCGCATTCGCTGTCAAAATAAAAAACGCACACAAGATAAGAACTTGCAACGCGTGTTTGCGTACATAAGATTTTCAGGAGGACAGACATTTGTTTAGAACTCTTAAAGATGTCGAAGAAGCTCCTTTAAGCAATTACTGTGATGTTCCTCCACCTCCAAAGAAATGTCAGGAGTCCGAACCACAAAAGAAGCACGTATTCTTGGAAAAGTAGTTGCAGGAGGTGAGCTGGCTTCAAACAAATGATGAATGCACAGAGATGTGGTGCGGAATGTGCCGTGAAAATGTAATAAATGACAAATTAAAAAGGCATGAACATTTTTTTTTGTATCGAAAAAATATCGAACCGTGACACCAAAGTATCGAACCGAACCAAACCGTGAATTTTGTGTATCGTTGCAACCCTAATATATACATATATATATATATATATATATAGTTTGTTATTTATTCCTACTGTCTTACCATTTATATTTTATTTCCACACAGCTTGTGTGGAACACCCATAATTGTGTTGTACATATATAATGACAATAAAGAGCTTTGTTTGTCTTGATCATTGTCTTGAGGTTTTGGTTTCAGTTAATATTTTGCTTAGGGATTAGTAGAGTTGGATTTCTCGAGACCGGTCTTGGTCTCGAGACCGGTTTCGAGACCACTTTTACGTGGTCTTGGTTTTGTCTTGGTCTCGACGGACTTTTGTCTTGGTCTTGTCTTGGTCTTGACAGACTTTGGTCTCGGTCTTGGTCTCGGTCTTGCTCTGTCAGATCGACATAGTGTTCGGGGGGATTTGGAGTCAACCATCAGCGGAGCGAGGGGGTGGCTTACTGGGCTTAAGCCCGGGTCATTTTTTCAGAAGCATGGGGTCCTTTTGGAGTGTAATTTGTTAGTTAGATGCCTGACTGACAACTGTATAAAACAAAAACAATACAAGAAGCACAGAGTTCAGGCACTAGGAGCACAGCACCCATGTGAGTGAGGGGGGAGAAGCTGCTGCCTGCGAGTTTGCTGCAGACAGAGGAGAGCTTAAGTTTGACCAGGTACCAAAGCAAATCATTCGTACTGTACAAATAATGTAAATATGACGGTGTATCACAAAAGATTGATATCAAACTGATCACTTGGTTGCGTTACTTGCTCTTTGAGTGAATCAACAAATAGATAAATAAAAAGCCGAACAACAATGCAAATTTTTTAGAGAGTCTTAGCTTACATTTCATATTTTCAGTTGTTACCCTCCACGGCTAAACAAACTCTGTAAATCGGTTTCAGTTGTGTACTGATGAACACAACAATGGACATAAGGAGCTTCTTTCAAAGACAAAACTCAGGTAGATGTTATTTTATATATTATGCTTTGTATGTTGTTCAGTATATTTCTATGCAAAACAAGAGGAATTTCAATACACAGCAGTATATTCACAGTTGAAACCAGATATCAACATACACTTTAGGGAGAAAACATAAAAACTTTTCTTTTTACTGTTAAACATGAATTTAGAGTAAACTTGTTTTGTTTTAGATAAATAAATGTTGAAATATCTTTGAATTAGTTAAATGTCAGAATAAAGAGAGACAGCGCTGTCTATTTTAATCACTTTCATCAAATTTAGGAGTACATATACACTAAGTTAATTAATACGAAAACGCCAGGCGATTCCATTCTGAGCTTAAGAAGCTTCTGATAGGTTAGTAGAGTCCATGTGAGTAAATTGGTGGCACACCTGTGGATGCATATAAGGCCCCCCAACACACAGAGCCTGTTTCTTTGACATGGGAAAATCAAGAGATGTCAACCAAAACACCAGGAAAAGAATTGTGGACCTCCATAAGCGTGGCTCAATTTTGTATACATTTTGGGTCCATTTGCAATTAAGGAATACAGACAATTTCTCTCTTTACTCTTAAAGTTAACAAATATGTTTTTATATTTATCAATCTAAAAAAATAAACATTTAGTGTGATTTGATGTTACAATTGAAAAAGTGTTTGTGTTTTTATCTGAAGAGCATGTAAATATCTGGTTTCCACTGTATATTTGATGATGTTGGTGTTTGGCTTGATTGTCAGCACAAAGAGGGAGAGAGAGGAGCAGAGAGGGAGAGAGAGAGGAGAATGAGGACAGAACAGAGATGGAACAAGAGCAGGTGAGACACATGTTAGTCAAATGGTTGTTTGCCAAAACTCATCAGAATATGTATCTAGTACCTAGTGTAACTTTTTAGATACCATTTGTTACTTTTCAAATTCTATATTTATTAAGGTATGCAGGCTTGTTTGCACAACAAGGCTAAATAATTATATAAACTTTTCTGAATCTAAATAGTTTACTTTGGTAGAATTAAAAAATAAGTGTAGTGCAGATCTATGATGATTTTTAGTGCTACTATCATCTAGTTTTGATTCTGGTTCTGTTTTGATTAAGTCCCAAGTAGTCCTGATTTTGAACTGTTGTAGTCCCGTTTTAATTCCGGATCAGTTCTGGGTCTGGTTGAATTGGGGTTTAGTCCCTGTGTCTTGATACAGCCCTGACTTTGTTCTGCCTTGCTGCTTAATTAAAAAAATAGTTTAAGGCGTCCTGCATATGTGACATATATATATTTTTCCTACATGAAGTCATTCTTTTTTGAACAAAACTCAAAAAGGAGCCTAATAATCTTTCAGTCATTTCTACCCTCACTTAATTTCCTTTCGCTGCTCAGCTCTCACACAGTGGCTCAGCTATGCTCCAATCCCTCCATATTGTGGCCAATCACATGCAAGGATATAGGATAATATCATTATGTGAAAAACAGAGAGGGTGAGAGATGCGACAGTCAAGTGCAGCGTGTGTCTGTCCTCTCAGTAAGTGAGTGAGACAGTAGACAGCGGTGAGGAGGGCTGTGCGAAAGCAAAAACACATAAATATGCCTGACACCTGTAAACGAAGCAGCATCTGGCTGCAGTTTAAATACTTTTTTTGTCTCGGTCTTGGTCTTGGTCTCGTCTCGACTTGGTCTCGGTCTTGGTCTTGGTCTCGGATTAGGCGGTCTTGACTACAAGTCTAGGGATTAGTACTGTGTGGGAACACTACACTACTACACTTGACTGAATGAACAAACCACTAGTAAAAAGGGGTGTAAAAATATTTTTATTTATTATTTACAAACTGGAAATATGAGGCAGTACTTCTAGAAAACTGTTTTGTCACACATAAATCTGAAGTCATTGGTTGACAACAACCTGGAGACAGAGCAAGGAGTTTCCTTTTAGAGGTTGAATAAAGTGTTTTGCTGATCAACTTCTATCTAAAGCCTTTGGCTTATTAGGTGTTAAAGGTGTAAGGAGACACAGTCACTGATGGCTGTGGCTTAAAAGAGGAGAACCAATGGGGACAGAAGTGGAAGGTCCTATTAGGGGTGGGCGATATAAACGATATACGATAGAAACTTTCCCAGCTCAAACAAAGGGACCAGCAGGACTCATTGAAAACTAGCTTTAATGCAAATTCTGTGTTCATACTATGAATATTAAGTCACAAATGCTCAAAGTACAAACCTGGTTAAAATTCTGTGCCATATTTTGTGTCATATTCTTTATGCCAGTATTTTTGAGCATTCTAAGCCGAAATAAGCTAAATTAGAGTTAACTGCATTAAGCAGAAGTGTCATAGCAGTTGGAAAGTCCGCTCTACAGCTTGGTAAAATAAGTAACAGGGACAGAACAAATGGCAAAATAAAATTTTTACAAGTTAAGGAAGCAATGACAGTATCCATTCATCCTGAGACCCTCTGTGATCCAGCCCTTTCTGCATGCTGAAATTGAAGGATTACATACCTGCCAGGCTTGTTGATGTACTTGTGCAGTCGAGCTTTGACTTCATCATAAGTAAGGAAGGCCATATAGCCAGGGTGTGTCACCGCTAGGAAATTCCAGTTCCTCAGAATCGATCCCCAAGGCTGAAAAAAAAAAAACCATGTTATTGTGGTTATGCAGTTTTTGTAAGTATTAATGTTTTATATTGTAAACATAAAGTAAACGGAAGTTGGGTCATGTATAACAGCATACACTCATTGCGTTGCCTCTTCAAGGTAAACTGTTCCTTAGGGATGGGTACGGCTATCTGACGGTTCTGACATAAACGTTAGTAACCAGATCGTAAAGCAGCGCACATTTCGGTGCTTTATTTCGGTGCTTTTTTTTCCTGAGATGTCAGACACTTTGGATTCCAGCCAATCATTTTACCTTTGCAAGCGTAGTAGGCGGGGCCAGGTACGTACGTTCTTTTAGAGCAGAGCTACAGATTAAAAATGCCCAAGGCGAAGCGGTCAAAGTCTGGCTGTACTTCACAGCAAAAGATGCAAACTCAGCAGCCTGCAACAAGTGCTTTAAGGTGATACTGTGCAAAGGAGGTAACTCCTTGAATCTGTTGAAACACCTGGCGACGCATAGCGTTTTTTTAAAAGCCGAGAAATGCGCCGTATTTGATAGCTTGCTGCGAGACCTCACACCGTGCACATCTACTGCAGGTGTGGTTCCTGTTATCGGTCCCGGAGTTAGCAACATCCCCCAAAAACCCGAAAAGGAGAGTCCTGGCCCCTAGCCCTGCCAGTGTAGCAGGAATGATGACGGATGATGATGGCAGCAGCAGCCGTTCTTCTCTGGGTCAGTAGCTTAATGTTGTCCGTGTGTAATTTACGTTGAGTAAGCTAACCACGTTATTAAATTAATGCATTTAAGGTGAACTAGCAAACACCGTCATAGTTACATGCGGCTGTCTTCTTGTTTGATGGCAGATACTCCCTTCACCCTGGCCAAAAAGGCTAAAATGACCAAAGAAAAAGTGGAAAACAGCTAAACATAAGAGGTTTTTGGACAAAGTTGGTGTTTTTTCCATTGATTAAGCACTGCTTCCAGCCAAGAGTGATACCATAAATCCCCTATAGCTGCAGAAAAGGCTAACATTGTTATCTTTTTACAAAAAAAACAGCTAAACATGAGAGGTTTTTGGACAAAGTTTGTGTTCTTCATTTTTTAAGCACCGGTTCGAGCACCGTTTAAACACCAGCACCGTTTCAAAAGTACCAGTTTGGTACTGGTATCGGATAAAACCTAAACGATACCCATTGTTGTGATATTTTGATACCATGGTAGCATTTACAGGATATTGTTTTATAGTGATATTATACAGGAAAACTGTTACTCAATAAGGCCCATTTACTAGTTGTTTTTCTCTTTCTCTGTGACCCAAGAATTAATGTGTAAGAATCACAGGATGGTACCTCAAGGTCGAAAACACCACAGAGATCACTCCCTTACTCCCATCCTCCCTTCTTTATCTCCTAGAAAAGGCTCGTTAAAGGCCAGGTGGTTTGTTTCAGAATTCACTAATGAAAGAACTCTGTATTCTATGTCTAGGAGTGTATTTCGCTGGGATGATCATAAATTGTAGCTGAACTATACAAAGGATACTTCTTTGCTCAGAGGGCAGGAAGACGCTTCCTTATTTGGTCTGTACCGGTTTGAACTGAGAATCTGCTGACACACGAACCTTTTTCCTCTATATAAACTGTTGTACTTGTGAATAAAGTTGAGTCAGTTTGGAATGACAACCTAGGACAGTCTCCGCGTCTTCTTGTTCTTCCAAACTGCTCCCGGTACTCCGGCCGGTACCGTGATTAACCGTTGATCATGCATGAGAATATTTTAATTTTGTTATATGTTAAAGGATGAACTCTGCTTATTGGTGCCCACGCCTTAGGAGGAAACTCGATCTACGGATGACGGAGATTTCCTTCAATTTGGTGTCAGAAGTGGGATCAGGCTGACGAAGGTAAATATGCGTCTTTTATATTTATATGAGACCGTATTATACCTCTCTCAGTGATCGATCCATAAAGAAACGGGATATGCTGACGAAGTTTCACTTAGTGATCCAGAGAGATACACTGACGACTTCCTTAGTCCCCGAATAAAGTAAATTAAAAGCAGAAAGACACAGGAAGTTGCCTGTTGTTTTGCGAGAAGTTGCTCGTTAAGTGAGAAGTTGCTCACCAAAAGGTGACACAGGAAGTTGCCTGTTGTCTTGAAACGTACGTTAAAAAGTGAGAAGTTGCTCACTCAGAGAAAGCTAGCAAATAATTAAATTAACCTCAGATGTGCCATCCTTCAAGTGTGTAAACTCTACGTAGAAGAAAAAATGAGTGTGAATGTGTCTGACGTCACGGTGTTTTTGTGCGCTGTGTAAAAATAATTGTTTTTGATTGTGAGAGCTGTGATACTGCAGATCACCAGCTATTTAAAAAAAAAAAATACAAACAAAAAGAGAGAAAGAGAGATGTGTGTTGATTAAGCAGTGATGATAATAATGAACATGTTTTAGTTTGTCACTTTCAGGTGAAAAGCAGACCTGAATCAATTTTCCACATGCAGCGGTCGGACGAAAATTTAAACAATAGTTGTTAAACAATAGTTTAATAATTGGAAACGTTCAAGCCAAGTTTCTGGCTGACTTATTTACAGCACGATCTGTCTCAAAACTCTCACTCTTACCTGGAAAAAAAAAAACCTGGTCAGCAGCGGCAGTATCGGAGCAGAGGCTGCAGAAGCAATCTAACAAAGCACCAGAGAAGAAGAAAAGCAAACCCATCTTCCTATCTGATTGGATGAATTCCACGGAGGGGCGAGCAAGATGGCGGCGTGAAGAGTTTTTGCTCGAGCTCTTAGAACGAGACATTTATTTGACGTCTTTCTGGCTTTCGGGACTTTTTTGGAGATCAGCGCGCTAAGCTTGCTGGATCTGAGGCCAGGTTCGGCGGCGGCAGCATGTCGAAATGTTCAGAAAGGACTGCTACATGAAAGAAATGGACCCTTAATGATGCGCTCAACGTGCCGGCTGTGGTCGGAAAAGCTCCATCATAAACACGCCCTGTGCAGAGGTCCAAGCCGAAGAAGGTCGGCCCCAGCGTGGGCGAGTTGATCGTGAAAGCCGTGGCCGCTTTCAAGGAGCGCAACGGCGTGTCCGCGGCCGCTCTCAAGCAGGCTCTGGCTGCCGCAGGCTACGATGTGGACAAGAACAAGGCCCGTGTCAAGACCGCCTTCAAGAGCCTGGTGGCGAAGGGCACTCTGGTGCAGACCAAGGGCACCGGGGCCTCCGGATCTTTCAAGATGAACAAGGCTACTGAAACCAAAGCCAAGAAACCGGCAGGACCTGCTAGAAGTCGCCCAAGAAGGCAGCAGCAGCAGCACTTCAGCCACTAGCACGAAGTCAACCGCATCAGAGGACAATAGAATGAGAGTGGTGAGAACACAAATTTTGTTATTAAATGTGGGAAATCAAAATTTGGGTTAGCAAACCTGGGGAAAAGAAAACTGACTGCTTAAGTGGAAAATTGAGATGGAGTTTTAAACACTGCGAAAATAGAATATACAAAATCACACACAAAAGCAGAACATGCATTAACCATACTAACACTCCAAACACAAGAGAGCTCATGAAGATTAGACAACATTTTAAGTGTGTGAGTCTGTTTATCATCTTGTCCAAGTCACCTCGTGTGATGCAAAAACCAGTGAAACTCATAGCACATTACATGCTCTGCTGGATATGCAGCTCCACAGACATGCAATGAAAATTAGCTTGTTATCTTTCATCAGTGTTAAAATAGTGTCAATTTAGCAGACACTTGTTATTAAATACTGAATTTATACAATGCAAAAAAAAAATTGACTCTCTAGGTTGCAGGACAACAATTTAACTTTTGTGGAAAAAAAAATAAAAAATCCTGGTTTGACGAATCAGTGATCAGACAATAAATTTAGTTGTTAAAATGGTAAATTGGGAGAAGCTTCCTGCTGGATTAATGCAGCATAAGCAATTTACTGTATGAGGGAAATTGTCTTTTGTGATAATATTTTGAACATGCTTTTCTGTCGTCCTGTCAACTTAGTGGGTTAATAGCTGATATGCAAATTAGTTGATCGGTTCTTAGATTAATGAAAGGTGATTGAATTTTAGCACGAGTGAATGAGATGTGTTGGAGTTTGTGTGTTAAGTGGAGACTCTAAAACACTGAGTTTCCTGTTTGATGTGCGAGTGACTTTTGTATTTAGCTACACAACTTTGAATACGTCAGAACAAACTTTTTTTTTTTTTTTTTTAATGAAAATTGAATAAAATAGATCTGTGGTTTAAATGAGTGAAGAGCACAGACCTGGTGATTAAACTCATAGCTAATATGACATTAGGATTATGTTGTGGGTTGTGCAGCTGATGGTTGGTTTGGAGTGAATCTAGCTGATGATTCTTCTCCTGTTGTGAAGTTGATGAGGAGTTTGTGTCATGACTTAAAGGCCTTTTTATTTTGATACTTTTACAGTGCACTGAAAGTTTTGTTTGATAATCTCTGTTATTTTTCATTTTTATCTTTTGAACAAGCACTGATTTTGTTTTCTTTAAGCAGATCTGCACGTCGGGAATTAAAGGTGCTAAACGTCGTCGAGAAAATTGTGTCAAGTGAGTTTTCTCCACATTAAAATGGGCTCTGGAGAAAGCTACTTATTTGGGACAATATTAAATGAGAGTCCCTGTCCTAAAAAGGATTCAGCGATGTAATCCTATCTAAAGTTCTTTTTCTTTTTGAAATAACGTCATTTTGCTGAAAGTGGAAACTAAATGCGACGACAGGTTCCACTATCAGCAAAGAAAGAATGAATGAATGTATGAATGGAAATAAAGAACAAACTGACTGACTGATAGAAGCTGACAAGACTTGACCACGACTCAAGGTTGACCTCCACCTAGACAGGACAAAAGGGTGGATGAATTTATGTGTTTTTTGTTACAGGAGCAGAAAGATGACAGCAACATTCGAGGTTGCATGACGATTTAATCTTTTAAATGCCATTTTCTCTGTCTGTGAATTTACTATGTGTGTGTCATTCACTAACTTGCGCAGCG